TAAAATTGATACAAAAAATGGTGTGTAATGGTCCATGGGAGGAAAATTGAACACATGTGATGGTGATTTATTAGTTTGTTTAATTAAAGATTAGATTCTTGATGATCTCACTTCTTTATTCACTCGTGTCTTTGTTTTCAACTTTAATGTTAAAAATCTATAGATTTATGAGTATGACATTCTATGTTGTGTTTGTTTATTTTATTAAATATAAAAAACAATTATGAGTATTTTAATAATAATCTACGATTATTGTTCAATCTGTCATATACGTGTTAAGATTTGGTAGGTAAAAAAGTAGTGTGACTATGATTGGATTTAAAAAAGCGTGATGTTTAATAGTACTTGGAATTATTGTAGCTTAATGGGTTTAGTCTAATACTTTTTGTCTTACGTGCTTCGTATATAACTAATTATTATTAATCTTCTTATGGTGAGTTAATAATCGAGGTTAGGGGAGATTTGGAATATTAGTTAATCAAGATCGAGTTCAAAACACATAGCAAAAATCAAATAATTGTTTCTCAGAACTTCTAGATTCGCACGATGATTTTATAATGTTGATTTAGTAACACCTGTCACTTCTTTAGAAGCATGATTGCTACCCATTTTTTTTATTCTCTATAAAGCATTTATTTATTTTAATTACATTACTACTTATACGTAGCAAAATCTTTTTTAAAAAGCCAATAGTTTCGAATTTGAGATAGTGTATTGCGGAATGAGATATGGAGCGTGACATCATAGTAGTATATTTTTGTTACCGTTTAAATGTCCCAATTTGAAGCACAATCTCACTTTAAAGTTTAAATACGAATTTTTGAATTAGTTTTTTTTCCTCAATATTCAGGTAAAATACTAATCTCAAGATATAAATGTTGCTATATTTGTTATATGCTTTTCGGTTGTGATTTTTGAATTAAATGTAGAGAGATAGAACTGTAACAACCAAATTACGATTCCTTGCTTTGTATTGGGGAAGCTGCATCAAGAAATGTGATAAAGAAACTGAAAAAGGGCTCTTTGGCTTTGCTTGACTTGCAATAAATTTCAATTACCCCAACTACAAAATTAAAAATTAAAAATATTTTAATTATTCGCTTAAATGCACTATTGATTGCGCCATAAAGAGATGTTGACAACCTTCCACTTAAACTTTTGCTTTTTAAAAACATACG